GTTTCCTTTGCTTTTTAGTACAGAAGCTATATATTTATTTATTTATTTATTTGGTACCGGGGATCAAACTCAGGTCCTTTCGCTTGCGAGGCAGGCGGCAGAACCACTGAGCTAAATCCCCGGCCCTGCAGAAGCTTTTTAATTTGCTATGATTCCATTTGTTGATTTTTGGTGTTATTTCTTGTGCCATCTGAGTTCTGATCAGAAAGTTCTTGCTTATGCCTATGACTTTAGGAGTTTTACCAACCCTATTTTCCAGTAGGTTAAGTGTTTCTGGTTTGTTTTTGTTTTTGTTTTGTTTTGTTTTGTTTTTTTGGTACCGGGGATTGAACTCGGGTCCTTGCCCTTGCACAGCAGGCGGTGAAAACACTGAGCTAAATCCTCGGCCCTCCAAGTGTTTCTGTTTTAATGTTTAGATCTTAGATCCAATTTGATTTTAGTATATACCTGGTGAGAGATATGGGTCCAGCATAAATCTGCATAAAAATAGCCAGCTTTCCCAGCACCGTTTGTTAAATAGGCTACCTTTCCTCCAACGTGTTTTTGGTTCCTTTGTTGAAGATCAAATAGCTCAACATGTCTGGTATTTTTCTGTATCCTCTATTCCAGTGCTGGCGAACCTATGGCAAGTGTGCCCAGTGGGCTGTTTGTTATCATTGAAAGCTCTAAAAGGTTCACCATCACTGCATTCTGTCCCATTAATTCAAATGTCTTTGTGCCCAAACCATGGTGTTTTTAATCATTGTTGCTTTGTAGTGTAACTTGGACTCAGAGATTGTGATGCCTTCTGCTTTGCTCTTTTTGCCCAGGATTGCTTCTGCTCTTCTGGGTCTCTTCTGCCTCCGTATGAATTTTAGGATTGTTTTCTCTAATTCTGTGAGGAACGCTGTTGGTATTTTGATTGGGGTTGCACTGAATCTATGTAACAGTTTTGGGACTATGGCTACTTTGACAACATTAGGACAGGGGACATCTTTCCATTTTCTGATGTCCTCTTCAATCTCTTTTACAGAGTACTGCAGTTTTCACCATAGAGGTCTTTCATTTCCTTGGTTCGGTTAGGTATTTAATTTTTCTTCGTGCTAGTGTGAATGGTATTATTCTCCTAGTTTCTTTCTCATTGAGTTCATTAACGGCATTCATAAATGCTATTGATTTTTTGTGTGTTGATTTTTAACCTGCTACATTGTTGAAATTGGTTATTAATTCTAAGAGTGTTTTGATGGAGTTCTTTGTATCTTCTTTGTAGAATATCATGTCATTTGTAAATAATGATAGTTTGATTTCTTTTCCTATGTGTATCCCTTGTATTTCTCTCTTGCCTGATTGCTGAGGCTGTTTCGAGAACTATGTTAAATGCAAGTGGCGTTAGTGGGCATCCTTGTACACACACACACACACACACATCTTCCTGTACGAAGACTCCATCTGTACAAAATTTTTGTCTGTTTCCTTCGCTGTTGTAACACGCACACTGCCCCCTAATTTCCTGACCGACAGACTAAGCCTTGAGCCGCTTTCCTTGTAGTTTCCATTCTCTCCACGCGGGGGCGGCAGAGGCCAGCGGTCTCGGCGCTCTGGGCCAGGTTCACTGGGTTGGACGCCTCTGAACTCCTCGCCCACGCCCTTTCCTCCTCGCCTCTCAAAGCGGGAGGTCCGGTTCCGGGTCAGGTGAGGCTTTATTCGGGGCCCAGCCTAGTTCCAAGGGAAGTTGAGTCACGAGTTTGAAAATTTAAACAAAGCAGGGCAATTAGGGATAAAAACGGCGGAGAAAGCAATCAGATACACCCCACACAGGCTCACTGCAGTCACTGAGACATTCACTCAACTGCACAATGTAAGGAGGGTCGGCACACTGCTCAGTAGTCAAGTTAAATGACGTATAGTTGTAATGTTTCTAAAAGTAAAAATTTACCAGAAACCCCACACGAAACAGAACGTCCAGTTTTTATGTAATATTGCATAGAAGCATGTATGCAGGGGCGTCCATTTTCCCTTTTGCCCCAATTCCAAAGTTGCACCACACACCATGGTTGGATCTGGCCTTGATAGATTTGGCATTTTGTTCATGCTGTTTTGTGCTAATTTTGAGCTTTAAAACATATTGCATTTGGGGCCGGGGATTTAGCTCAGTGGTTCCGGCACCTTCCTTGCAAGCACAAGGTCCTGAGTTTGATCCTTGGTACCAAAAAATATATGTATTGTATTAAAACATTGTTCATCTTAAGTGGGGAGTTCTAGGTGTCCCTGTAAATTTTCCAAAATGAGTCTCTGACTTTGCCTAACCCTAGTCTCAGGCCTGCTAGGTCCCCCTCACTAGGAAGCCCCAACAGAGTCACAAGAGACTTGTCAAAAAAAACCTCTGCCAGGGTCTAGCACACCCAGAATGTTCTAGAGCAACCCTGGCAGCCACAGCACCCTGGCCGCTCCAGGCAGCCGGTAACCTCGGGTCTGCCTATCTGGCAGCAGCCATCAGGTCCCTCTCAATACAGGTGCCTGTGTCTACTGATCAGAACCAACGGAGTCATTTTTTAAAAAAACTTTCTTTATTGGGGTATAAACAAGGAACAGGAGATCTGAACTCTTCAGAATGTTCTAGAATGCCCTGGAACATTCTAGTTGTGCTAGACAGCGGGCAGGGTACCACATGTGGCTGTTAACCGTGGGTTGTGTTACACAGCAGATCTCTAGAGCTTGTGGGCCTGCTGAGTGCTAACTCTTATAAATAAAGCCCCTGTGAAGTTGTCTCTAAGAGGGATGTCGCATGGTAGGAACAAGGCGAGGGGAAAGTTCCAGTTCCAAAGTACATTTTTAGGCTGACAGAAAAAGACGCAGGGCTGTGCCTGGCGTGCTGCGTTGGCACAGGACAACAGCTCTGCCGCTAACCGACCACAGGAGGTCACTGAGCCCTGGAAATACAGCAGCGCAGCTAAAGGATTGAACTTTCAAACGTATTTAACTCCGATTAATTTGTATGGCAGCTTAAACAGACACACATTTCCTTTTGGCCAGAACTGCGCTTTTATAGTAATTCACCAAAATGGGGAACACAAAGGGAAAGGGGAGAGGTGCCCATTATGTGTTCTCCAGGCCTAAGAAACCTGGAGTTTTCCTTGGGCCACATGCACGCCATGCCAATCTACACGGAAGGCGGCACAACAGGTGTCCAGCGGATAGGTGGAGGTTTAAAAAGGAAGGCCCGACAGGGTGGCTCAGCCGTGGAGCACTTGCCTGGCATGCGTGAGGCCCTGGTTTCCGTCCCCAGCACCACCATCAATAATAATAATAATAATAATAGTAATAATACCCCACCAATGTTATCATGGCAAAGCTGGGAGAGTCCATAATGTTACCCCACATGCTGTCAGCATTAAAAACAAATACCGAATATGTTAGGGGCAGGAATTTTGCCCAAAAAATGAAGGTGCATATCAAGTGTATTAGGCCCTCTAAGAGCCAAGGTAGTTTCTGGAAACCGAGCTTTCACCTGCTCCACAGAAGCATCTTCCAGGAGAAGCAAAAAGAAGAACCTGGACCCTTTGGCAGAACAGGCATAAACATAAGTAAATAGATAATTAAGCCCTGGGTGGGTGGGGCCGCATGCAACTAACGGCTGCAGACAGTGCAGCCCCAGGTCAGCGACACTCAAATTTTACCTGGAGTTGGAGTCATGTGCACAGCATGAAGACAGAATGCAGGGCCATCCTGAGAGTCACTGTCCAGGACTTTGCATTTCTGACAAGCTCAGTCTGCATCACCTGAAGAACCACTGACCTAGACAGTATTCTGACTCCAAGAGCTGTGGGAGCCTACACAAATCCCTTGATGTCTCAGGCCCTGGTTTTCTTATGTAGAAGTAAAATGGCAGACTGGGCTTTGGAGACCATAGATATGGATTCAAGTCCCTGCTCTTCCATTAATTAGCTGTCTGGCCTTGAATAATTATAAAATGTCTCTTTGCTCCCACTACAAAGTGAAAATAACTGTTCATACCAAATAGGGTCAATGCAACAATTAAATGTGATGAAGTATAAGCTGGGTGTCATTGCACACGGCTGTAATTCCAACACTCTGGGAGGCTGAGGCAGGAGGATCACAGGTTTGATCTCAGGGTGGACAACTTAAGTGATTTAGCAAGACCCTGTCTCAAAATTAAAAACTAAGAAAGGGCTAGGGATATAGCTCAATGCAAAGGCCCTGAGTTCAATCCACAGTATTAAAAAAAAGGTGATAAGATATATGCCATTTCATAAGTTCTGTAAAAGGCATTTCCTGTTTAAAGTGTATTACATGAGATGGCACACAGAAAGGTATGGCTTGCAACACAGATAAAAGCATTTTTATAACATAATTCTGTCAGGTTTCCCTTGGTCCCGTGTGTTTGTCAGTTTTCTATCATCGTATGTGAGGGTTGGGGACATAGCTCAGTGGCGCAGTGCCTGCCTGGCCAGTGCAAGGTCCTGAGTTCGATCCCTGTGTGTGACACAACGCAGCTGCATGCTCTGGCCTGCTGTACTAGGGGCGGGGGGGTGCGGTCTCAGCAGAAGGCTCAGCTGGGGTGGGCTACAGGGCTGTTTTTTCTTTTTTTTTAAATTGTGGTAAGATGTACATGAAATATACCACCTTAACCATTTCAAGTACGGTTAAGTGGCATTAAGCACATCCACTTATCAGCTGTCAGAGTTGGGGCAAGTTGCTTAACTGTAAGGTAATTCAGTTTTCCCATCTGTAAAACAGGTAGACAAACCCTATTTAATTCAACTCGGTGTTAAGACAGATGAGTCACACACATGAGGGGCTCTCCTGAACTGCCAGAGGCCAGCAGGCGGCAGGGAGGGTCCCGAGCCCTGGCACCCCAAGAGGAGTTCCCATGAGTCGGTTCCCAGGGGTGGCCAGGACTTCAGCGCGTCCCCGTCAGAGAAAGCAAAGGGGTTTTCCCTAAGGAAGTTTCTGCCTCACACTAAAAGCCTTTCAAATTTACAAATCGTACACCATGCTTATTTTGACATTTTATCCTTTTTATTGCAAATTTCTGGTAAAGGAAAGAACACGGAAGCTGATTCTTGTTTAACCTTTGGTGAGAAGTGTCACTGGGCCTGTGATCGGCACTGCTCCCCTGCCACCTTCCCCAGGCCAGATCGCCCTGGGGGCAGCGGGGCCGCAGTGGCTCCTTAAACTCCCCACGTGAGCCCAACGCAGCCCAGGCTGGAGAGGCGAGGCCACTCCTCACGCGGGGCTGGCGACATCAGAACACAGGAGACACCGGCCCCAGCCCAGCGTTACTTGCTCACGTCCCCTCCTTAGCCAGAGTCCAGCTGTTGTCCCAGCCCCTCTTCCCAGGTGTCAGATGCGCTCACCCTTCCTCCTTCCAGACCCTGGGGCTGACTCAGTCCTGCCTCTGTGCCCAACCTGGACAACATGCAACTCGGTTGCAAAAAGAAACCCCCTTCTGACTGTAAGAGAGCATCAATCTTTTTCCCCTTTAAGTGTAAATTTACTGTACAGAGATGAAAAGATGTGTGACCAAAACAGGAAATATATTTTGAATGACATATGACATATTTCTTATATAACCTCTCATGTCCAAATTTTTAAAAAAATGTTTTTGTCAAGCCATTGAGAACTAATGTACTCTAGCAGCATATTTTATATGGGTGTAAACAGTAATAGCCAGTTAGATGTTTCACTTGTGACTTATCCTAAAAATAGAAAATGCTTTTATTGTCCTGAGTCCTTGGCAAATGGAACAACAACAAACAACAACAACAAAACCACTTGTCCTCCTTCCCTGGTCCCCCTCCCAATCAGGAGTGGTGAGTTTCACTGTCCGTTTGCACAGGTGACCAAAGACCCCAGGATCACACTGTCAATGGCTGATCAAACATGGAGGCTGAAAATCATCTACAAAGTTGCACAAGATGAAAGTGTCTTGACAGTATTACAAATGCAATTTGTTTCTTTGTACATACAAAAGTATGAATTTCTATTCCATGAATAATACTGAACGGTTCATGTCTTAACAGTGGTAACATTTTTAGAATATTTAAAAAATACATAGGATCCCATTTTGACATCATAATTCTGAATGATTATTATGCCTTCTCCTGTCGGCAAAGATTTTATAGGGTACAGTGCACGGAGGCGGTTATACCAAGGCACGAGAATACAGTTGCAATAAATGTACATAAACCCTGGCACTGTGTGCCAGTTTTGGAAACATTTAGAGAGGTCATAATGTCTGGAAAATTCTCACATTCTATCATGATTAATGAACAATTAATCATGCAATCAACAAATGTTTAACCACCATTCCATTATTAAATATATGGCTATCACTATGCAAATTATGGCTAATTCAAAAATACTTTTAAATATTAAAACCTGGTATAGCTAGGTAGATGTAAATATTGTGCCTTGTAGTACCCAGAACACCTTAAATTTCTATGTAATTTCCAATCTCTATGGCAGTTATCAATTGTAAGTCTATTTTCATTATAGAAATGGCAGGGTTTTTTTCCTCAAGTGTTAAATCTCTTCCCCTTAGAAAAGACAGAAGATTGACAGGAAGATAACCAATATAAGAAACACACAAATAACAGTACTAAAACCCAGATGTGGACTCAAAGGTTGAATTCTAATCTATTGGGACAACACATTCCAGTGACAACTCATTAGTTTCTTAATTTTAAAAAATCACCATCATGTTTTTCAAAATATTAAATAGTCTTGGTTAGACCATCCAGGATTGAAAAAAATTGTCTTTTCATTCATAAAATGAAGAGGATAAAAGCCTTTCAAAGGGTAGGGATGTCCACTGAATTTAGAGAAGTAAAATAAAGTGGTTAAAAACTGTATTTAATATGCTAAGAGTGTTTTCAAGACTCAAGGTAAACATTTAGACCCATGAAAACACGTCTCCTGGCACATGCACACCCGGGGGCGGTCCTGAATGCACCAGGCCTGGCCTCAGAGGCCCGGGCTCCCAGTCCCAGGCAACACCTTCTACATCCAGGTCCCAGGCCGGTCACAGGGGGGCTTCCGGCTTCTGCATCTGTTGGATTTGCTTCTGCAGCTGGTCCCTGTCCAGCTTCATCTTGGCCTCAAGCACTTGCCTGAGGGATCCTATGCTTTCGTAGATGGCTGTAAACCCTTTAAGGATTAGAGATAAATTTCACAACAGTTAATGCTGTCAAAATGATCCCAAGTTCAACTCTATAGAATATGGTGATAGTTGATTCGGACAAAAACTATAGATGTTAAAACAGCAGGGTAAAAGTTTGATGAAGAACAAGAGAACTGGGCCAGGGATGTAGCTCAGTGGTGCTCGATCCCTGAACCAAAAAACAAACAAACAAACAACAAGAGAATTGCATAGTATCTCACTGGAAATTGCTTTTTCATAACAAAAAGGGAAAGGAACTATTACAATGGAGAAATCGCAGATACAACTATTTTTTTTTTGTACCAGGGCCTCACGCTTTCCAAGCAGACCCTGTGCCGCTGAACTACATCCCCGGCCCCAGACACAACTTTAACCAAGTGATCAAAGCTCACATCCCAACTCTGGGAGAAACCAGCGTCATGGACCTTCAGATAAGATTCCCCAGGCCAGACCTAACAGCACTTCTGTGGCCTCTCCCAGACCTCATCTCTTGGAACCAAGAGAACCCAAATGGGGACAGACTACAAACCCATGGCCAGCATTCTTTCCAAATGTCAAGATCACTGAGGAAACAACCCAGATTAAACAAGAGGAAGTAAGAAACATGGCAACTAAATATAATGTGTGATTCTGGATCAGAACCCAAATGGCCAACAGGTGTAGGAAAAGGTCCTGAATGTCACTGATTATCAAGAAAATGCTCATCGGTAGCTGGTGTGGTGGTGCACACCAATGATCCCAGCACTCGGGAGGCTGAGGCAGGAGGATCACTGTGAGTTTGAGGCCAGCCTGAACTAACCCTGTCTCAGAAAAACAACAAAAATGTATGTAGGATGAAGAAGCCCAGGGACTTGTATACAAGATGAGGGCCACAATCAGTATTATTGTGTTGTCTTGAGATTTTTCTAAAAGAGTAGATTTTGGGTGCTCTTGCAACACACACACACACACACACACGAGTGATTGTGACAGGATGGCTGTGTTAATTGAACATAATAGCCACGTCCTTGTGTATACGAGTATCAAGACAGCTTACATACCTTAAATATATAATATGAAATGTTTTTGCTTAAAAAAATGTTTGATTAGGAAAAAAGAAAAGAAAGAAAGAATGCAGACTGGTGAAGGTTTGTTGAAAAGGAAACAACAATGAAAGCTGAATACTGGATCCTAAAAGGCACTTCATCGATGTCACTGTGTCCGGTAGTTGTGCCAGGAAATGTCCCTGTTCTTATGGAAAAGACATTAAAATAATAAAGGGGTAAAATGGCATCATGACTCTGGCAATTTCCAAATGATTCAGAGAAAAAGAAATTATATTCATACACACAAAAATATTAAGTACACTTCCAAAATGTTAAAAATTGGTAAATTTAAGATATGTAGAGTTCTGAGACTATTCTTACAGAGTTTTAAAATATGAAATTATCTAAAGATAAAAGGTTAAAAAAAAAATAGCCAGGCATGGTGGCACATGCTTATAATTCCAGTACTCAGGAGCCTGAGGCAGGAGGATCACCATGAGTTCAAAGACAGCCTGGGCTAAGCACCAAGACTCTGTCTCAAAAAACAAAAACAAAAACAAAGTTTTTTTAAAAGTCTCTATCAAAAAAGTATTTCATACTATTCTGTATTTCTAGTGTTTAAGTGTTTTTTTAAAATCTTGTCTTCACTAGTAAAATGGAGCACTTTTTTCTCAGCAAAAAAATCACTGTGTGACATTTCATGAAAAAAACTGTACAAATTACTGATTAAAATGCTTTTTACTGAGCCAGGTATTTAGCTCAGTCATTCCACCACCTGCCTTGCAACCTCAAGGTCCCAAGTTCGATCCCCAGTACCAAAAAAAAATGCTTTTTACTGACACAGAAAGATAGAACAATTACTAAAGAAAATAGCAGGTTATAAACCAGTATGTATAGTATGAACTTTTGTGCTAGCAAAATACATGTATAGAAAATATACATAAAAATGACTTCTGGGTGAGAGAAGCTATATTTTAAAATTATTTTGTACTTTAGGGTTTTCCATTAAGAAATCTGTTACCTTTATAATAAAAATATTTTTAATTCTGTAAAGGCTCATATACATATCTTATTAGGTACTAAATATTAACACCCTCCACAGAGGTTAATTAAAGGGCAACAATTCATTCAGAAAATGACGTAATGTTGAGCATGGATGAAATACTCAAATGTCACATTCCAACAGCCCCAAAACCAAGAAAGAAAATTCATCTTTATCTTTACAAGTGCTTCCATTTGAATGTTTAATTATAACTTCTAAATAAAGTAAATGTTTGGTGATAACAATAAAATTATTCTTGGAGGCCCGGGATTTAGCTCAGTGGTTTCGTTGCCTGCTGCACAAACACAAGGACCCGAGTTCGATCCCCAGTACCAAAACAAAAACAAAAACAAATTATTCTTGGAATATCTACTTTTATTTCCATGTAGCTAAATAGGACAATGGTACAGGCAGAACTCACAGCATAAGAAATCGGAGGAGCTGACATAGTTTTTGGTTTGGGTTTTGGGTTTTTTTGGTACCAGGGATCGAACACAGGACTTTCCGCTTGCAAGGCAGGTGTGGAGCTAACATAGTTCTCAGCAAGACCATCTTCTCCTTCCTGATCAGATCAGCCAGACTTCCCCAGAATCCTTTGTTTTTTTGTTTTTGTTTTTGCTTTGAGACAGGGTCTCACTATGCAGTTCAGGCTGGCCTTGAGCTCACTGTGTAGCCCAGGTTGACCTTGAAGTCATGGCAATCCTCCTGCCTCAGCCTCCCACGTGCTGGGATTACAGACATGCACCACCACACGTGGCCCAGAGAATCCTTTCAGTAACAAAGAGCTCTGGATCTCACAAAACCACCAGTGTCTTTAAAGACCGTAAACTTTAAGCTATTTTTTGTCTGAGCTAAAAATCTGTCTTTGGCTAACTTCTTCCACTTGTTAGACCCAGTTCTGCATTCCTGAATTCAGAGTGATAGGCCTGCTGGTACGATCTGAATCTCCCCTCTACAACTCATGTTGAGATTTAGTTGCCACTGTAACAGTATCAAGAAGAGTGGAGGATCTTTAAGAGGTGATGGGCCAGCACTCCGGGAAGCTGAGACAGGAGAGCTCAGCTTTGAGCCTAGGCTGGTTTGAAACCCAAGTTTGAGCCCAGCCTGGGCAACTTAATGACTTAGGGAGACCTTGTAAAAGGGCTGCGGATGGAGCTCAGTGCAAAGACCCTGGGTTCAATCCTTAGTAGATGGGGAAAAAAAAAAAAGAGGTGAGGAGGTCCTGAGGGCATCGTGACCAAGGCCCTTGGCAGAGCGTGGGCTGCCAGTCAGAGGACGAACCTGGCCTGGGTTTCCTCTGCCTGTGTGTGGGCTTCCTTGCCACCTTGAATTGTGAGGATGGCCATGGTTACCACAGGAGTGGTAGGGGTCTGAATGAATGGGTTTTGAGAACAGAAAACACAGCATGGGAGCTGCTAGGTTTGGCCTACCGGCATTGACTTCTGCTTTTATCTCCTGCATGCCCTCCTGCATCTGCAGCTCCAGCTGGCTGATCCGCCCATGCACCTTGTCCTCCTCTGGCTTGGTTCGCGGTCCTTCCAGACTCTTCTTCTGAGTCTCCTCCAGCTTGTCTAGTCTGGTTGACAACTGGTTGAGCCTCTCCGTGTCCCTTTCACTGGCTACCTGAGGTCCAGGGGAAGAAATGCACCTGATTACTCCGAAGACAAAGTCTGCCTCACATTTACATCCGCCTGAATGTTTCACAGCGGTATGCAGGGGACAGAATCACAGTGGCTGCCATTGCCCACCTCAGGGTCCTTCTCAATTGCTTCTGCCTTAACAGACTCCTGATTTTCAGCTCAGTAAGAGGTCATCCAGAAACAAACCACATTTCTCACTGTCTCCTCAACCTAGTACAACACAGGCTCAGCATATGTGTGGCCATTATAGGATTAATTTCTGGCCAATGAGATGTTAGTGCATGTGACAGCTTCCAGGAGAAGTTCAAAGACAGCTGATATATACCTTCATTTCTTCCTTTTTCTAGAATTCAGTCAATGGCTGGAGCTCCAGCAGCCACTTTGAATGGTGAGGATGATAATTCTCTGGGGTTGGCACAGAGTGAAACCAAAGGACCCTGAGTCCCTGAGGATGACAAGCCATCTCGTTAGTCCTGCACGGCCCACACCCAGACTTCTCTTCCATGAGAGAAATAAACTTCTATCTTATCAAAGCCACTCTTATCTTGGGGCTCTTCTTTTGGTCATAAACCCATCTACATGTAAAAATGAACAGCGATCCAAAGTGGAAGCCTGCAAATGTATTACTATAAATCTCAGTGAAATAATTAGTAGACCTGATAAAGATGTGGGAAATACCCATAAATATTTCCTTTCCGCCATGCTTGGTTTTCTGAGAATGTGTGCCTGCAGGCGGGCTCTAGAGGCCAGGACTAAACACCGAGCTGAAAGCAGCTCAGCACAACACAGCCTTCTCTTGCTGGCACCCAGTGCAGGTTCTGCAGCTCCACAGCTCAGGGCCTGGAGACAGCTGCAGAGACAGCAGTCAGGGATGCAAAGCACACCCATCCTTTCTGCTCTCTGCCCCGCCCCGAAGGAAGCTGGGGGGGGGGGGGGGGTGATCACGCTGAATAACCTGAGCCAACAAAATTTGCCTGCCAGGTACCAGCTTCAGAGGCTGCTGGTTTTGAATATGACACACGCGAGGCTTTCTTGGCACAGTTTTGGAGCAGTTTGCAACCCTGAGCTCTGTGGGATTCAGGAAAAGGAGGCAAGAAGTTGGGGGGGGGGTGACCCACTGCCCTGGGCCACTGCACACTGGGGTTCTGCAGGGAGAGATCTACTCCACACTGGTCCTGAAATGAAAACAAGCCAGGGTCAAGCTGCTAAGTGTGCATTTTATTTAGAAATGCAAATGGGTAATTTGGATCTTTAAGCACTTGACTTACATTTGTCTTAAGTGAAAAATTCTATTTAACCTTTTTAACCAAAAGAAATCAAATGTTCCACTTCTTTATAAAGACTATAAACCCAGGTGTGGTGGCGCACGCCTGTGATCCCAGTACTCAAGAGGCTGAGGCAAGAGGATCGCCATGAGTTCAAGGCCAGCCTGGGCTATATAGTGAGTTCCTGTCTCAACAACATAAAAATACAAAGAATAGAGGGTGGAGATGGACTCAGTGGTAGAAAACAGGCTAAACTATGTTAGGCCCTGGGTTTGATCCTCACAACCAAAAAACAAAAAAAAACAAAGAATGAACATAAACCAGAGAAATGGATTCAAAGGCAAGAAACAACTGAACAGCTCTATGTGATACCAAATAACTAGTCAAACACTGTAGACCTCTCACCGAATAACTGTTAAATGATTGGTAAACATCAATACCTACACTGTTTTCCTTAAGCGCCAAGGAAAGCTGGTCAATTTTCTGTAAAAGTTCTTTTTCTATCCGTTCTTGTTCCTGCTGCATCCAGCTCCGTGCAGACAAAATCTGATTACTGAGCTCCTCGACTGTACCTTTAAATCTAAAAGACAGTAAATGAACGTGTTAGCTGTAAAACAGTTTTGAAGTGACAGGAAACAACCTCTGACTCTCAGGTAAATAGCACTAAACTCTGCTCCCTCAGAGCAGCATGCTTCCCTCCTCCAGGGCTCACACTAGGCTGGGAAGGGGCAGCAGGAACACATGACACAAAAGCCCCCGATGATGCTGCTACCCATAGATGGCAGAGTAGGCACTGAGGTGACCGTGACACAGTGGACCTTCGTGGTTCTGAGGCCCGAAGTGCCCCTGGCTCACAGGACTCTGTGTCCTGTATCCTGTGTCCTGCTGCCCTCCTTCCCTGGTTCGAGTCCCTTTTATTTCCCAGGACTGAAGCCTGGCTCGGGTGTTCTCACTTGTGCCCCAAACTGCTCTTGACCCCCAGGGACACATCCCAATTTCATTCAGAAGAATCTTTTTTTAAATTTAAAAGTCTTCCCAAACTCCTATTCCTCTAGTCCTCTCTCTTCCCAAATTCCTGAAAAGAACTGTCTGTACATACTACTTCCCCTTCATCACTCTTTCTTATTTTTAGTATATGTAGTAAAATTATAGAAAAATATATGTGGTATAGGTATATGATTTAAATAATACTAACATGAACATCCACTGTTGTAGAGTCACTACTAATCCTGCAATATCTGCTCTCTTATTCCATATAAAAAGCCCTCAAGTATCAACTAGCCAGAGACCTTGTTTCCCAGCCTCCCTTGCAGCTAGGTGTGGGCACACAAATAAGTCAGGCAACAGGACCTCCTGGTCCACACTTCCTGTGTGGAAGTGATAGAGCACATTTCCAGTCACATCCTTAAAAACAGACTGGGGAGGGCAAGGTCTGGTGCAACAGAGTCCACACCCTAGGGGCGTGAGCACCACCTCACCACTGTTACACAGCAGTCACAGCCCTGAGGCCAGACTGTACACAAACTAACACAGCTATGTCCTCCCACCAGCCCACGACTAGACCTCCACCAGGATTTAGAAATCCCAAGGGTACTTGCTGGCGACCCCAGCCCCCAGGAGGTATGCACCACCCAGAATTTCCTGTTCTCTGCCAGTACTCTTACAAGGGCTCTAGTGATCACACAGGCTTACATGGATGATACAGAGTAACCTATTCATAACCTAATCACACTTGCAAAGTCTCTTCCTACTATATAAGGTAACTAACTGTTCACCCATCTCAGTAATTAGGAGGTGGAGATATTTGGGGAATCATTGTTCAGTCTACCACAACCGCTTATCTTTTCTTTTTTCTTTTTTTTTTTTGGTACCTGGGATCAAACTCAGGACCTTGCGCTTTCAAGGCAGGCACCGGAACCACTGAGCTAAATCCCCAGCCCCTGCTTATCTTTTCTTAAAAGCTCTTATGACTATTAAGAATAATATAGCATCTGTCTACTTAGTCTTTATTTGATTATGGCCACTAGCTCCTTATACTGTAAACTCCATGAGAACCAGACCAGTCTGATTTTCTGTTCATCACTGAACAGTACTTACAGCACTGAATACTCAGAACACTGAACAGCCCCTCAGCCATACTCAACAAATATGGGGCATCGTCAACAAATATGGTGAATGTTTAAATTTTTTAAAATATTGCACCAAAAAAGACACACTGCCATTAACGCTCCTCACAAAATTCTCCTTTGCTTTGAACACACTTATTCCATCACTCTTGCCACTTTCTGAAGCAGCTCTGGAAGTCCTCTTTTGTGAGTGTCTTTAGTTGTGCTGTTGTGGCTGCCTCAATATCTTGAATCGATTCAAAATGTTTACCTCTCAAAAATCATTTTGACTTTGGGGACGAACCAGAAGGTTCATGGGGCCAGATCTGATGAATAAGGCAGATGAGGACACAGTGTCATGTTTTTATTTGACAGAAATTGACATAAACATTTTGAATTGGTTTGTGACATCAAGGCAGCCATGAAAAGATACAAAAGAGGAACCCCAGGACGGCTTCAAAAAGTGACAAGAATGATGGGGTAGTGTGAGAAATTGAAAGTGTAAATAAGGATCAAAACGTATCAATAGATAATGTGAAATAGAAAGAAAAGGTCCAAAGGGGAAGGGGAAAGGAAAGAAGGGAAAGGAGTAATTATGAGAAAAGGAAAAAACGGAAACAAAGTCTTTGTAAATAGGGAAGGGTGGAGGGACTGAAGGGAGGGCAGGGGAAGGGGGAAAAAATAAGAACCAAGATGCATCATGTAAAGGTATAAACTTCCAATGATGAATGTCATATTGTATACCTAAAATGTACCAATAAAATTAATTTTTAAAAAAAGAATGATGAGGTAGGTGTGTTTGAAGCAAGAGGGAATATTTTGAGAGAGATTAATGGTAATGTGTCTTTTACTGTAATAAATTTTAAAAACTGAAATAGTTATCTTTTTATTACAATATACATATAAAATAGATAAATTATTATCCAGTCACTAAAACTGATAATTATGAAGGAAAAGTAACAACAGGCTACATGGAAACTTTTCCTTTTAACTTCTGTGATTGTTTTCATTGTGTGCAATAAATAAAAACCAAGAAGAAAAGAAGGGCAGTACTGCATAAACTCAGAAAGAACGTCAACTAAAAGCTTTTTTTTTTTGATAAGCTCATGACTTACTTAGTATCTAAAAGCTGAAGCTGGTGGTTACTGTCTCTGTGGGACATCTTCAGTTTGGTGCTCTGCTCTGATATAGACAAATCCACTCTGTTCAAAAGCTGAGAAATCTGGAAAAGAAGGCTTACTCTTCAGGTATACTTTCAGAAAACATTTCCTAAGCTATGTGCTAGTCAGTAGTGTTAAGATGCAATCATTTAGGAGTTCGCCTCATTTTTTACCTTTGTTTTTTTTTCTTACACACCCGCTGAAGATCAAGACCAGCAACACTGCCAAAATATTGATCACACACCAGGCACTAAACTGTTCCGTTCTGTAATGAGCAAACCCAATAGCAGCCCCAAAATGGAGTCAGGAAGCCCAAAATGGAGTCTGATGAGTCATGACCCTCCAGGGATCTTACAAGAACATCTGCCAGGTGTGCTCTGGTTGTCTGGGACATCCCCAGAGCACGATCAGGAAGTCCACAGGCTCTGCATGGGCACTGGGTGAACACTGCAAAGCCTGGCCCCTAAAAAATATGTAGTCTCCCATAGGATAGAGATTACATTCCTTATACAATGGCCCAAGCTCCCTTCTAAGCCCCTTTAAAAACTGCTAGACAAAGGGCCTTCTTGGGTATCCTACTCAGAACCCCGTTCTGTCTAGTGGGAGCTTTACTTCCTTGCCTTTACATTTTTAAAATAAATTTGCCTGCACCCTACTTCCTCTGTCCACAATTTCATTCTTCGTCACTGTGGGATAGGACCCTGGAATTCTGGTAACACCATTACCTACCTGTTTCTCCTTGTCTTTTCACTAAAATTTAATATAAACCTAGTCCTTATTTTCCACAAAAATTGTGATGTACATCGTTCCTCACTTAAAAATTCATAGTTTTTCTCAGATCTACAACAACAGTAACAAAATCTCTTTTGATGGATTTCTGTGTTTTACTTGGCTTGGATACTAGGAAGCTTAAGATTGTCTTTACATCTATTTTCTGGTAATAATTTCATCCTTACTCATCCTTCAAAATTATTTTTAAAATGGGCCAGGATTTAGCTCAGTGGTACCATGCCTGCCTGGCAAGTGCAAGGTCCTGAGTTCAATTCCCAGTGTACACACATACAATATATATATATACTATAAATATATATATATATAAATATATATATAGTATATATATATATAGAATATATATATAGACTATATATAGAGAGAGAATATAGAGAGAGAATATATATATATATATATATATATATACACACACACACACTTTTTTTTAACAGTGGACTTGTCTCTTTTTTTTTCATAGTTTTATAACATCTGTATTTTTCACATAAGCGACTTACTGGACACAGGAGATAAGCATTTTTTTTTTGGTACCAGGGATCGAACTCTGGTCCTTGTGCTTGTGAGGCAGGCGACAGAACCACTGAGCTAAATCCCCGGCCCCAGATAAGCATTTTTAATCTGACCTTCGGATTACAAGTGCTATTATTTTTCAAGAATAGTCTCTCAAGTGAAGAATGGTAAATAAGGCAGGTAATGTAGGAAAAGTCCTAGAAGGCCCACCCTGTTACGATAAAGGGAAACTTGTAAAAGGCCAAAAATCAAACTGAAGCACCAAGTTTCACTTTGTGAAATCAGTCTGTGAATTTCAAGGTAGAAAATTCTAAATCTCACTAGGCAGCCTCCCCCTAGCTTTGGCCTAGTTTTGTAGCACAGGCAGACAGTGTGATGAGAAAGCACCCACACTGTGTCCCAGTGAACACACTAACTATTCCCTGCACCACAACTGGGGTGAGTGGCAGGCGACGGAACACAGGACAGCTAACCTGTGCGAGAGGGAGGTTTTCTTTTTGTTTTGATTTGGGTACTGGGGATTAAACCCAGGGCCTTTGCATTGAGCTTCATCCCCCCCAGCCCTTTTTTATTTTTTATTTTGAGACAGGGTCTTGCTGAGTTGCTAACTTGCCTGGCTCAGGCTCAAACTTTCAATCCCCCTGCCTCAGCCTTCCAGAGTGCTAGGATTACAGGCGTGCACCACCATGCCCAGCAGTTTAGAATCTCTAGAACACATTAATCATTTTAAGAATAAGGGGAAAGAAAAAACAAAAGCAAAACAAAACAAAAAAAAAGAATAAGGGGAAAGAATCTTTCCGTTAAGAAGGCTATACCAAAAACATCATTGAGGTTTGGTTGCCAGACTCATGAAGTGTCACTTCAGTGAAACAGAGAAAGAAGAAACAAAGAGATGCTTATCATTTGCATAAACCTGTGCTGGGGCCCCAGCTAATTTCTCCTGCAAAAAATTAACACCCCAGCTAAGAACAAATTACCCACTTTTAAAAGCTACCTAACACAGGTCCTACCTGTCCTTCTGCATCTTTGATTTTTGTTTCCAGTATCAGCTTGGCCGCTTGCTGTTCTTTGTTCAAGTGCTGGAGCCCCTCGTAGGTCGTTTTGTGCTCTGCAGAGAGTCTGGCTATGCTAGCATCACATCTGTCAAGTCAAACGACAAAGCCACCTCTTATGAAAGTTTTCAAACATGTGCAAAAGCACCCTCATGTGGTATGAAATGCAAGACCCAGCTCAAAGAGACTGCATCACCAATCACAGCTTCTAAGGCAAGTTTGAGTGGACTCTGAGACCATCCCTGGCGTACACACCAGCACTAAGGGAGAATTATTCCAGGAATGCAAGTCTGGTTGAGCCCCAGAGAAGCAATTAATTTAATATAGTACATCAGTAGAAAAACAGATAAAAGCCACACAATCATCTCAATAGATGAAGAAAAAAAGCACTGAATAAAATCCAACATTCTTCATGACTACAAAAAACAACAGTCAGCAAACTAGAAATAGAAAGGAACTTTCTTAACCTGATAAAGAACAAATAGAAAAATGCCACAGCTGAATTCAAACTTCATGGTGTGAGACAGAAGCCTTCCCCTATGGTCAGGAATAAGACAAGGATGTCTGCTCTCACTATTTCTACTCAACATCCCAGCTGAGACTCTAATCACAGTATTTAGCCAAGAAAAAGAAATCAAAGTCATCCAGACAGAAATGGAAGAAGTAAAACTATCTCTACATGTAGGTATCATGACTTTCTATATAAAAAATCACAGAACTGGAGAAAAGATAGCCTCTTTAATAAATGGTGTTGGAAAAACTGGATTTCAACTTGCCAAAGATTAAAACTAGACCCCTATCTTTCACCATGCACTAAACTAAAATCAAAGTGGATTAAAGATCTAAATATTAAAATAGAAACACTAAACTTGCTGGAAGATAAGTTAGGTAGAACTCTCAAAGACACTGGCATAGGAAAGGACTTTATGAACAAAACCTCAGTAGCACAGGCACTAAGCACAAAGAATCAACAACTGGGATCTCATCTTATTAAAAAGCTTCTGCAATGCAAGAGAAACCACCAACAAAGCTAAGAGACAACCTACAATGTGGGAAGAAATTTTTACCAGCTGTTCCTCAGACAAAGGTCTACTATCTAGAATATATCAAGAACTCAAAAAAATCAGATCCCCCCAAATATAAAGACCCAATTCAAAAATGGGCATCTGAAATGAACAGACATTTCTCAGACAAAGAAGTAAAGGCAGCAAATAAATACATGAAAAAATGTTCAACATCACTGGTCATTCAAGAGGCAAATGAAAACAACACTGAGATTCCACCTCACCCCACAAAGAATGGCTGCTATCAAGAAATCAACCAATAACAAATGCTGGAGGGGTTGTGGGGAGAAAGGAACCCTTCTCCATTGGTGGGAGTGCAGACTGGTGCAACCACTGTGGAAATCAATATGGAGATATATCAAAAAACTAGGATTAGAGGTCCCATTTGACCCAGCTATTCCCCTGCTGGGTATCTTCCCCAGAGAATTAAAAGAATCATACCACAGTGATATATGTGCACCCATGTTTATAGTGGCACAGTTTGTAATAGCTAAAGCTGGGAAACAGCCCAAGTGCCCATCAACTGGAAACTGGATAAAGAAGATGTGGGGTTCTTTTTATAAAATGGAGTACTACTCAGCCATAAAGAACAAGAAACTAGAGACATTTATAGGTAAATGAATGCACATTGAGGCGCGACTCTTAAGTGAAATAAATAGGACACACGTGTGTAAATATTGAAGTTTCTCTGGTGTCAAAAACTAAAAGTGTAAATAAGATTCAAAATGTATAATAGATAATGTGAAATAGGAAGAAAAGATCTAAAGGAGTAGGGAAATGGGAGGGGTAGGAGAAAGGAAAGAAGGGAAAAGAAAAAAATATGAGAAAAGGAAAAAAATGGAAACAAAGTCTTTGTAAATAGGGAGGGGTGGAAGGGGTGAAGGGAGGGCAGGGGAATGGGGAAAAAATAAGAACCAATATACATCATTCTTAAAGGTACAAGATCCCAATAAAGAATATAACTGTATTGTATGCCTAAAATGTACCAATAAATTTAATAAAAAAAAGAAAATCATAGGAAATCCACTAAAAATTAGTAGAAATAATGAGTCAGTTTAGCAAGATGGCAGAATAAAAGACCAAAATACCAAAACCAATTATTCTGCCACACAAGGACAGGCTGATCGGGGCTGGCGTTTTTGATTTCTAGTTTTCAAGGTTCATTATTTTCCATTTAGGTCTTATTTTCAGGGAAATAGGCATTAGGATAATATAAATCAAAACCACAATGACATAGCTCTTCAGACCCACTAGGATGGCTATACTGAAAAAGACAGCTAGCAAGTGCTGGTGCAGGTGTGGGGAAATCTGAAGCCTGGTACAGTGCTGGTGCCAGGGAAAAACGGTGCAGTTACTTCGGAAAATAGTCTGGCTGTTGTGTTTCTCAAGGTTAATTATAAAGTCACTCTGTCACCCAGTGGTCCCATTCTAGGTACATATTCAAGGGAAATGAGTCTATGACCACACAAAAACTTCTTCACAAATGTGCATAGCAGCATTACTTGTAAGACCCAAAAAGTAAACACAACCCAAAGACTCAATTGACATATAAATAAAACATGGTACACGATGAGATATTATTAAGCCACAAATAGGAATGAAGAACTGGTACAAGTTATGACACAGATAAACCCTGAAAACATCATCCAAAATGTAGGAGTGAGTCTCAAAGGTACACATGTACTATGATTCCATTTCCATTCCTGAAGAGGCAAATCCATGAGAGACAGGAAGTACTGGGTGGTGGCCACGGACTGGGGGAAGGGAAGGGGGAAGCGGAAGAAGATGGGAGAGTGATGGCTAGTGGCTGTGTGGTTTCTTTTTGAATGGTACCAATGTTTTACAAGGAATTGTGATAGTTACATAACTCTGTGAGTACACCTAGAGCCACTGGGTACATATACTTTGAATAGGTGACTGACATGCTGTGAATTATCTCACTAGAGTTCTTCATTTTTTTTTTTTGGTACCGGGGATTGAACTCGGGTCCTTGCGCTTGCGAGGCAGGCGGCGGAACCACTGAGCTAAATCCCTGGCCCTAGAGTTCTTCATTAAGAGAAGAGATGAGAGAGAGAAAGAGAGCATGAGCGAGCCAGGAAGAGCACCTGTGGGGTCTTCAGAGCCACTGGGCCATTTCTCAGGGGCTCCCAGTAATATTCTTCTCCAATTCCCAGCGAGCACCTAAGAAAGAACTTAGGCACCAATTCAGCCCACAGACATTTTTCCTCTGCAGCTGTCACCACGAAATCCAACCTCACAGAGGAAAGTAGAAGCAGCCACAGAAGCCTGGAGAAGTGAATGCCAGAGGAGGCCCACGTATTCCACTCAGAATTGGAAAACTAAACTCCCGGAGCGCCGCTTTAGGGAGAAACGAGAAGTCTCCGACCAAGTCCTGTTCAGGTGTATTATGCTGAGTGGCATAAAAGCACCAGGGAGAACCCTTCTGAGCTGGATTTACAGGGGGAAAAATCAGGGTTTGTTTGCTATTCATTATGTCTCAAATGGATACACAAACTATAAAATTAAATGTGCAACAATACTGCAGCCTAGTAATTTAAGAGTACCACTGAAATACCTCATACCCCTTTAATACAATTATATTATCAAAGTAAGAAAGTCAAAACCTTGCCGAAGAATTTTTATTTTACGTGAATTCATTTCAACAAAGTCTCATTAGCATTCCAAGGGAAACACAAATACAGGCTCAAGACAAAGCAAAAGTGCTCGTAACAAAGTTTCCTGATGGTGCTAGAATAAAAGTATTTGTATGGGAAAGAATCAAGTTGGGTAGACAAGTGGAGAAGAAAACAAAGAATGCTCTAAGATTCCTGACAGCGTTTCCAAGTAATTTCTCTACTACAAGATGCAGGATAAGAAGGACAGTTTCAATCCCCTCGTTGCCCTGAGATGCCAACAGCCACCGTTTAGTCCAAGCTGACCCCATGTGGCGCTGTTATTTAGTCTTTTTCTGCAATTCAGGTAGTCATGAAGATCTGCCAAGTTCTCCCAAAGTCCCCTGAGCCCTGCTGCTCCGGGTATTGCTCCGGTCTTTCCACTCCTTTCTGTCCTGTCCAGCCCACAGCTGGGATTTCTTTCAAGCCAAACCCTGTGGACAAGGAGCCAAGCTTTTTCTGCCTTCCTACAGTGATTTTTCTGGATCATTCATTCATCCAAACATTTGCCTACTGCTCTCCAGAGACTGCTCCAGACACTTGGCCACAGAAGCGAAAGATATGGAACTGCAGCCCAAGACAGGGAGATAACAGAGTGAGGTGGAAACGGGCCAGAGCAGGGCATCAGGAAAGACCCCAGAGGAGGGGACATCCGAGCTGAATGTCAGGGGTGGATGAGAAGCTAGCAGAGGAGGAGGAAAGGCACAGGGTACAGGAATAGCCTGGGCAAAGGCCCAGTGGCAGGAGAATGGCCAAATCCAGGACTAACAGATGGCACTGTGTTCACACAAAGACGCCCCAAAGCTACCCTGTCTGCTCCAAGAGGCCCTGGGCCCTGCGAGGCTCTGTCTCTCCCCTACCCTGCCTCTCTGGCCACCACACTGTCACCCATATTCGTTCCCAAGCCCGCTGCAGGCACATATCCATGTGCTTAGTCTTGTGGGCAGCAGGGGGCAGCAGAGGCCCCAAGTGGACACCCTGTGCCAGCCCTGGACACAGCCCTGAGCAGGGCTCCTCAAGCATCAACACGCACTGGGATCCAGGGGACGAACCCAGTGGTAGACGGTGGCCCTGAGCTGAGCAACCCAGGCTGGGGCCCAGGCTGCAGGTTCACAGAGCACTTTGGGGACAGGGCACAGCCCCGTCTCACTGTCAGAAGGAAATGGCCTCTTTTTTAGAATTTTCACCTGATCAAAAGCCCAAAACTTTCAGAAAATGAAGCCAAATTAAAAGAAAAATGCGATTTCTAAAAAGACACGCAAAACCTAACTCCCAGATTTGTATTATCTGACAGACGCACGAGCTCAGCCAAATGGCACAGCCAGGCCAGCAGAGGGAGCGAAGAGGACAGGATGCAGAAAGACAAGACAGCAGGGCGCTCCCGGCAGCTGGGACGATGCCTGGGGCTTCAGGGGCACAGCAGGGAGAGGAAGAGCCAGGAGTCTGGGCGCCATGAATGTACTGCCCCCCCCCC